GCTCTTCTCAAGGCCTTGCAATCCCAGGAAGCGGCCCTGCCACTCACCAAGTTACTTCAACCAGAAACCCAGAAACCAGCCTGGATAACGTTTTGTTTTACCCCCTCACATCTAATCAGCAGGTCGTGTTGACGCCATCTGCAGAATGCATCCAGCATCTCTCCGCTTCTCATCACCTCCCTGCTCCTCCCTACACCTCCCCTAGGACAGCCTTCTGACTGGCCTCCCTGCTCCTCCCTACACCTTCCCTAGGACAGCCTTCTGACTGGCCTCCCTGCTCCTCCCTACACCTTCCCTAGGACAGCCTTCTGACTGGCCTCCCTGCTCCCACCGCACTTTCCACAGTTCACTCTCCACAGCAGCACACGGGCTGACTGTAAGCACACACAGGGTCACACCTGTGCTAAAGCTCCAGCGCATCCCCATCTCCCTCCCACAGCTCCACCATCTCTCCAGCATCACCACCTACACACCCTCCTCCTCACCCACCGGCACATCAGCCGCTTCCCTTCCAACAAGGCCGTTCCCTCTTCAGACTTTGCCTCTTCTGTATCCTCCACCTGGAGGCACTTCTCTGAGCCCCACGGGGCTGTTGGTTGATCAGCTCACATGTGCTCTCCTCAGTGAGGCCTTACCTGACCCCCATGGCAAAGTAGCACCTCCTGCCGCCTTCCCCCTGCTCCCAGCGTTCCCTACCTCATTACCTTTCTTTTCGTCATAGAATCTTTCTTGACCTGAACATTTTATTTCTCTTGTATTTACTGCCTATGACCCACTGGTAGACTGTAACGTCAACAAAGCCAGAGAGGGGGCTGTTTTCCTCCCTCCACATTTAGGTCAGTGGCCAGAAGAGGATCCAAACTTCCATCAAATGCTAAACGAGGGCAGGCAGAGAGAATAAGGCATCCAAACCAAGTCGCACAGCAAAAGCCAAAAGGAAGAAATGAGAGTAAGTTTGGCTCATTTCAGTGAATGAGGACTAGCTGGACTAACGCAGGAATAGAGCAGTGGGAAATAACATGATGCCGAGAGCTGGAGTCAAACTGTGCAAGGTCTCAGATGCCAAGCTAGACAGTCTGGAACTTAAGTGGAAGGCTTTAACACAGGAAAGAGCGGAGCACTTAAGGGGGTGAATTTGGTAACGAGGTGCAGGGTGTTCTAGGAGGATGGGAGTGAGGGGGGAGGCAGCGGGTCAGCAATCATCCGAGAAAATGAAGTAAGGCTCTAAAATTGCCCAGACCTCATGGAATGAAAGAAATTCCTGAGAGCTACATTTTGCAATAAATCTATCAACTGGTGGTAGAGGGCGAAGGCAAGGTGAGTCCGGCCTGTGTAACTGGGAGAATGCTGTTTGAAGTGGAGAAAGCAGAAAAAAAGAGTCAGATGCTGGGCTGTGGTCCCAGAAAGTCAATCCCAGGAACAAAGCTGCAGCCTGGGGAGCCGGTTCGTCCCTCCCCTTCGGTGTGAAGAGCATTCGGGGAAGCACAGCCTTTGCCCCCACCCGGGGCCAGGAGTGCGAGAGGGGACTGTCACTTACCACGGAGTCCCCGACACCTGGAATGCAGTGGACAGTTGAGACTGTTGGTTGACAAATCACCAGTGCAAAGGTGACAGCTGAAACCTAGAGAGTGGAAAGGGTCCTCAAAGGAAAGAAGAACTGAGCCCTGGAGAGGTGTGTCCAGCAGAGGGAGGGAAGAGGTGAGGGGGCGATGAGACAGAGGTGGGGGAGGTGTGAGATAAGGCACCACTGAAAGGAAGGGGAAAAAACACTGAAACTGCGGCAGCGTGTAAAACTACTAGAAATGTCAGGGAAACAAAGAACAAGACCTAGGGACAGGCCTCCAGGTTGACAAGGTGACTGGAGCCAGCCGCTTCCATGGAGCTGTGAGGAGACAAGTGAGACTAGGCCTACAACAGGGAGGGGAGGGTGAGAAGGATCTGCAGAAAGAAGGTGCAGCAGACACAGTAGCCTCTCCTGCAAGCCCATCGCTGAGGCCGCCTGGCGTGCCAGCCTCGGGCTGAGAGAGAAACCACCAGGACCAGCAGGGCAGCAGAGAGGACGTAACAGACGTGAGAAAACGCTGTTTCAGTCCTACAGCCAACGCAACACGGACAGAAACGCACAGCGCCCGGCACACATCAGCAACTGCGGTGAGCGGCATTTAGGTAAAGCTTGAGCACGTGAGAACGTCACTCCTACCATGCGGACTTTGCTGGGACTTTCATCAGCCATGGCACAGGTTCTTTTGGACCCTCGCGGTTGGGATGGATCATCGCCTGCATTCGTTTCACCAGGGAAAAATCCTCTCCACCCGCCAGGCCAGGCGAATGCCTCGAACGCAGCCGCAGAGGCCTGGCCATCGTCGGTCACCGAGTCAGCGGCTGCAGGGAACGGGGATGCTGGCGGCGGTGTGCTGGCGCCTCTTCTGTCCTCAGGGCCCTTGGACGGGGATGCACCCTCCGCCGGAGACTCAGAGCTTGAGGAGAGCTGGTCTTGCAGAAAATGTTTTAAACGAGTTTTTCTGCGGACGTTGTTCCTGGAAATTGCGCTCCGGAGATGAGCCTCTTCTGCAATGGCGTACACTCTGCTGCGGCCGCGGGTCACCGCGGTGTAC